AAAAAAAAAAAAAAAAAAAAAGCCAAAACTCTGAAGTTCCTCTGCCCTACTAGCTGTGTGATACGGAGTTGTTACTTGACCACTCTGTGTCTCGGTACCCTTAATTGCAATACAAGCACATTCGTATTATCTGTTTCATGAGGCTGTCGTGAACTTTAAGGGTAAATTCCACTTCTGTGTGTAAAGCTCTCAGAATAGCGCCTGGCAGATGCTAGGTGCTGTGGATGTTGGTTGTTAACAGAGTTGGGTCCAGCGCCCAGGGCTTTCCTACCTCCCCCTTCCCCGAAAGAATAGGTGGTCCTTCGTGCGGTGGCCCAGGGTCTAACGTCAGGGGTGCCAGGGGCTGGGCGGGGCGGGTGATGGCACTTTTCTGGGCTGCCACAGGATCCCTGGACCCCTGCCGTTCTCATCCCTGAGGCCCTTCGAGAAGAGCTCAGGTAGGAGGTGCCCTGTGGTGGGAGGGGCTTGGCCCGAGCTGGGAGGCTGGGTCTGGACGGTCCTGTGTCCACTGAACGCATTTCTCACCCCTGAGAGAGGATCACGAGAAGAGGACTTGGGACCATGAGCCTCCACAGCCGAAGCCCTTGATCTACTGGAAGGGTGAGTCCTTGGGGGGCAGTGGGAGGAGCCTGGAGGGTCCAGGGGCTGCCAGCTACCGCTGGGCCAGCCCTCAGGATCCTCAGTCACCTGGCCCTGTCTCCCCCGGCAGACGTCCTCCTCCTGGAAGGAGTGACTCTGACCCAGGATGCCAGGCAGCTGAATGGGTCGGAGCGGGCCGTGTTGGACGGACTGCTCACCCCAGATGAGTGTGGGGTCCTGCTGCAGCTGGCCAAGGTGGGAACCCGTGAGTCCAGCAGCTAGTCTGGGACCCTCGGGCACAGTGCCTGCTGGCTGGCTCTCAGCCTGCCCCCCCGCCCCCCCCAATTTGCCATGGGGAGTGCGCTCATCACCGCCTCTCCGCTGTGGACCAGTTCCTTCTCCTAACTCGGGGTGAACATCCTTTCCCAAGGACTCTTGCTAGACATTCTCAGGAAGAACAAACAAAGACCACGACGGTGTAGGGATGGGTGAGCATGTGGGTGAGGACTGCTTGGTTGGCATGAGTTTAGTACCTAGCTTGGCCGAGAGCTCAGCAGGGACACGGGCTTTTCCCATTCATTGCAACCCCTTCTATTTTGGGTTGAATGACCCAGATTCACCAGGCCGAGTTTAACCTTAAAATTTTTGTTTTAATTAACAGGCTGGGAGTGGTGGCTCATGCCTGTAATCCCAGCACTTTGGGAGGCCAAGGCAGGAGGATCCCTGGAGCTCAGGAGTTGGAGACTAGCCTGGACAACATAGCGAGACTTTGTCTCTACAAAAAATAGAATTAAAAAATCTGCCATGGAAGGCTGAGGCGGAAGGATCGCCGGAGCCCAGCACGTCGAGGCTGCAGTGGCCGGGAGCGACCCCTGCACTCCAGTCTGGGCGACCGAGTGAGACTCCAACTCAAAAAAAAAAAAAATTTGCCAGGCATGGTGGCACATGCCTATAGTCCCAGCTACTCAGGAGCCTGAGGCAGGAGGATCGCCTAAGCCTAGGAGGTTGAGACTGTAGTGAGCCATGGTTCTACCACTGCACTCCAGCATGAGTGACAGAGTTGAGACCCTGACTCAAGAAAAAAGTTTTTAAATAACAGCAGTTGTTTAATATAAGTCTACCCTCTTACGAAGCTTCAGCTCTCACTCTGGACTAGTGTTCGTTCAGCACACACCCACTAAATAGCTGCTGTGTACTAGAAGCGGCTAGATTCCAGGGAGGGAGGACGAACACAGACTGCCCTCTGAGAGCTCATGAGTAGAGAAGGAAGCAGACGTGGAGGGACGTGTGTGAGCAGGCGTTAAGTCTGACGAAAGTTGAATGTCCTCATCCAAACGGAAGCACCAACATGCCTGTCATAGAAGGCTTACCAGGGGGTGGCATTTGGGCTCAGTCTTTTTTTTTGAGTTGGATTCTCAGTCTGTTGCCCAGGCTGGAGTGCAGTGGCACGCTCATGGCCATCATAGCCCCTACCTGCTGGGCTCAGGCGATCCTTCCATCTCAGCTTTCCAAGTAGCCAGAACTACAGGTACGCACTACCATGCCCGGCTAATTTTTTATTCATTGTAGAGACGAGGTCTCCACAAGTTGGCCGGGCTGGTCTTGAACCTGCGAACTCAGGCAATCCACTCGCCTTGGCCTCCCAAAGTGCTGGGATTACATGCTGAGCCACCAAGCCCGGCCAGATGTCATCTCTTTAATTAGCTGTCCCCTGACCCCTGTCTGGGCAGTCTCAAGGTCGTAGCCCTTCATATTTCTTCGTAGCTCTTACCATCATTTATCTGGTTGGTTTGTCTGTTAATTTATTTGTCATATCAAAATATACATCCTATGCAAGCAGGAACCTTTCCTTCACATGTGTGTCCCCTGTGTCTAGAACAACACCTGGCACATGGTAGGTCATCAGTACAAATTTGTTGAAGGAATGAATATAAGAATAGAAGCTTAAAGCTGGGTGCAGTGGCTCACACTTGTAATCCCAGAATTTTGGGAGGCAAAGGTGGGAGGATCGCTTGAGGCAGGAGTTTGAGACTAACTCTTGAGCAACATAAGTGAGACCTTGTCTCTACAAAAATTAAAATAAGAGAATAGGAGGTTAGATGGCTTGTGTGAGTACATGGTCTCTCAGAGGTGAGATCTATATGCAGGGGTAACTAGACAGTGATACTTAAACTGAGATTCACAGTAGAAATAGGCTGCGTATAGTAGCTCATGCCTGTAATCCCAGCACTTTGGGAGGCCAAGGCAGGAGGATCACTTTGAGCCTGGAATTTGAAACCAGCCTGCGCAACATAGCAAGACCCTGTCTGTGTTAATAAATAAATAGGCCGGGCTCAGTGGCTCAACCTGTAATCCCACGCTTTGGGAAGCTGAGGTGAGTGGATTGCCTGAACCCAGGGGTTCAAGACCCGCCTGGGCAGCGAGACCTCATCTCTACAATAAATCAAAAAATTAGCTGGGTGTGGTAGCGCGTGCCTGTAGTTCCAGCTACTTGGAAGGCTGAGGCAGAAGGATCGCCGGAGCCCAGCGGGTCGAGGCTGCGGTGGTCGGGAGCGGCCACTGCACTCTAGTCTGGGCGACAGAGTGAGACTCCAACTCAAAAAAAAAAGATGGCAGGAGGAAGAGTGTCAGAAATCTGACATTGTAGTGGAAAGTTGAAATCCTCACTGGAGGTGGCAGTAGAGAACTGCATCAGATACGGCACCGTGAAAGGCAGAGTTAGAAACAGTGAATAAGCCCAGCACAGTGGTTCATGCCTGCCATCCCAGTACTTTGGGAGGCCGAGGAGGGTGGATTGCTTGAGGCCAGGAGTTTGAGACCAGCCTGCGCAACATAGCAAGACCCTGTCTGTGTTAATAAATAAATAGGCCGGGCTCAGTGGCTCAACCTGTAATCCCACGCTTTGGGAAGCTGAGGTGAGTGGATTGCCTGAACCCAGGGGTTCAAGACCCGCCTGGGCAGCGAGACCTCATCTCTACAATAAATCAAAAAATTAGCTGGGTGTGGTAGCGCGTGCCTGTAGTTCCAGCTACTTGGAAGGCTGAGGCAGAAGGATCGCCGGAGCCCAGCGGGTCGAGGCTGCGGTGGTCGGGAGCGGCCACTGCACTCTAGTCTGGGCGACAGAGTGAGACTCCAACTCAAAAAAAAAAGATGGCAGGAGGAAGAGTGTCAGAAATCTGACATTGTAGTGGAAAGTTGAAATCCTCACTGGAGGTGGCAGTAGAGAACTGCATCAGATACGGCACCGTGAAAGGCAGAGTTAGAAACAGTGAATAAGCCCAGCACAGTGGTTCATGCCTGCCATCCCAGTACTTTGGGAGGCCGAGGAGGGTGGATTGCTTGAGGCCAGGAGTTTGAGACCAGCCTGCGCAACATAGCAAGACCCTGTCTGTGTTAATAAATAAATAGGCCGGGCTCAGTGGCTCAACCTGTAATCCCACGCTTTGGGAAGCTGAGGTGAGTGGATTGCCTGAACCCAGGGGTTCAAGACCCGCCTGGGCAGCGAGACCTCATCTCTACAATAAATCAAAAAATTAGCTGGGTGTGGTAGCGCGTGCCTGTAGTTCCAGCTACTTGGAAGGCTGAGGCAGAAGGATCGCCGGAGCCCAGCGGGTCGAGGCTGCGGTGGTCGGGAGCGGCCACTGCACTCTAGTCTGGGCGACAGAGTGAGACTCCAACTCCAAAAAATGAAAAATATAAATAAGTAAATAGTCAGGCATGATGGCATGTGCCTGTAGTCCCAGTTACTTGGGAGGCTGAGGCAGAAGGATTACCTGAGCCTAGGAAGTCTAGGCTGAAGTGAGCTATGATCATGCCACTGCACTCCAGCCTGGGTGACAGAGTGAGACCCCACCTCCAAAAAAGAAAAAAAAAGGCATCAACCCGGATGCGGTGGCTCAAACCTGTAATCCCAGCACTTTGAGAGTCCGAGGCAAGAAGATTGCCTGAGCCCAGTAGGTCGAGGCTGTGGTGGCTGTGAGCGTGCCATTGTACTTGAGCCTGGGTGACAGAGTGAGGCTCCAACTGAAAAAAAAAAAAAAAAAAGAAATATGGGTATCAGAAAAGGGAATAATCTCAGTGTAGACATCCCAACACTGGGAGAAGCTGGGCTTAGTGGCTCAGCCTGTAATCCCGCGCCTTGGGAGGCTGAGGTGAGTGGATTGCCTGAACCCGTGGGTTCAAGACCCACCTGGGCAACTTGGTGAGACCTCGTCTGTACAATAAAAAAAAAAAATTAGCCGGGTGTGGTAGCACGCGCCTGTAGTTCCAGCTACTTGGAAGGCTGAGGCAGAAGGATCGCTGGAGCCCAGTAGGTCCAGGCTGCGGTGGCCTGGAGCGGCCACTGCACTCCAGTCTGGGCGACAGAGTGAGACTCCAACTCAAAAGCAAAAGAGAAAGAAATATGGGTATCAGAAAAGGGAATAATCTCAGTGTAGACATCCAAACACTGGGAGAGTGGCCGTGTAGGTTGCTGGGTAATGGAGACTCAGCGGGAGGCAGGGGAGCCGTGGAATCCAGTCCGTAGAGTACTGAGAGGAGGGTGAGCGGGTAGAGACCAGAGGGCTACCCTGGCTGAAGCCGTCTCCCCGCCTCGAGTCCGTTTCCTGCAGGGGCTGGCCTTACTTGCAACTTCTGTTAGGGGCCCGTTTTCAGAGAGAGTTCTCTGTTCTTGGCTCACTGGGGACTAATGGTCCAACCCTTTCTGCCTAGTCCCCAGCTCTGCCCCACTTGCCCCGCTGTCCTTACTCTCTCAGAGGTGCCCTCCCTGCTGTAAAGGCTCTTCAGAGGACCTTTCCCAGAGAGTGGCATCAGACAACCGCGGCGGTAGCCATTCTCTGGAGAGGGCATCAGTGTAGGAGAAGGAGCCAGCAGAGACCCGTGGGAGCTTCTAGCGCCTTCCAGAGTGGGAGGGCTGGGGGAGGGGCTTGCAGCCCTGTGGGCAGTGAGGTGGGCCAGGGAGAGTACCTCCATAGCGGACCCCCTCCCTGTTTAGGATGCAGCTGGGGCTGGAGCCAGGTCTGGCTATCGTGGCCGCCGCTCCCCTCACACCCCCCATGAGCGCTTCGAGGGGCTCACGGTGCTCAAGGCTGCACAGGTAAGGAGGCCGCATGGCCCGTCTGATGCCCAGAGACGGAGGAAAGGGTGTGTGGGAGGCTGAGCCCAGGGTCTGGCTGATGTGGAGGACCCTCTCTGGGACCGAGACCAAGTCCTTGGCCCAGGGTGGAGCACGGGGTGTCCCGCGGTCTGCGGGCCTGGCTTGCAGCCACAGGACTGATGGCAGGGGTGGTGTGGGCTGGCGGACAGCGCTGGGTGGAGGGCAGCGAAGGCGGCCGGGGCCCCGGCTGGGCCCGGCTTCCCCTGCTGCCCTCCTTCCCTGCCCTTTGCAGCTGGCCCAGGCCGGGACCGTGGGCAGCCAGGGCGCCAGGCTGCTCCTGGAGGCAGGCGAGCGCGTGCGGGCCTTGACCCAGGCCTACTTCTCCCCGGAGCGGCCCCTGCATCTCTCCTTCACCCACCTGGTGTGCCGGAGTGCCATCGAAGGTAACCGCCGGGGCCCCCCGCTCGCGCCCAGACGAGGGCCCTGGTCCGCGGGGCACACATCAGCGTCCTCGGTCTGGGCGGGCTTCCGTCTTCCCCCGAAAGGACCCTGCTGCCCCGGCCCCGGGGGAGGCCTGGCCTTTCCGCCCAGCTGCGACCTCCGGAGCAGCAGGGCGGGCGTGGGCGGTGGGAGCCGTGGGGTGGCGGCGGGGCGCTAGGGCGTGAGGGCTCCCAGGCCCCTCTGTGTCCCAGGGGAGCAGGAGCAGCGCATGGACCTGAGTCACCCAGTGCACGCAGACAACTGCGTCCTCGACCCGGACACGGGAGAGTGCTGGCGGGAGCCCCCAGCCTACACTTACCGGGACTACAGGTGAGCAGCCCCGGGGGGACGGCAGGCAGGCGGACAGGCAGCGGTCGCCTGTGGTGGGCGTGGGCCTGGGCCTGGGTGGGGGCTCACGGCCTCCTCTCCTCTCTCCCCAGTGGACTCCTCTACCTCAATGATGACTTCCAGGGCGGGGACCTATTCTTCACAGAGCCTGACGCTCTCACCGTCACGGTGCGTGGACTGAGGGGCGGGAGAGCTTGGCAGAGGGCTCAACTGTGGGACGGGATTCAAAGCAAGATCCCCAGAGGCAAATGCAGGGAAATGGCTGAGCCACGCAACCCTTTCCCCTCCCTGCCTTCCCAGCCCTCCTCCCGCTGGTCTGTGTTCAGGAGGCCTGAGCCTCCCCGCAGGGAAGTCTCTCAGCGGCCGCCCAGAGTGGCCTTCGGCGTGGGGCTTGCCTCCCGAAGGAGGGGGACAGCCTGTAGGGGTCCCTCCAGGGTGTGCTGTCCCTGTTCTGGGGATTTGGGGGGCTCGAAAGAGTCCTTCCCCCCACAGCAAGGGCTGTACAGTGATGAGTAGCACAGATGCTGGGGCCGCCAAGGCGCGAGTTCAGGTTTTGGTTCTTAACCCCCCGGAGGCTCAGTTTCACTGTACGTATTTTATTTTTATTCTTCTGAGTCAGGACCTTTTTTATTTCTATTTTTATTTTTTTTTGAGTCAGAGTATTATTCTGTCGCCCAGGCTGGAGTGCAGTGGCACGCTCACGGCCACTCCAGTGTCGACCTGCCAGGCTCCAGCGGTCCTTCTGCCTCAGCCTTCCAAGGAGCCAGAACTACAGGCACGCACTAGCACACCCAGCTACATTTTTGATTTATTGTAGAGACAATGTCTACCAAGTTGCCTGGACTGATCTCGAACCCACAGACTTGGGCAGTCCACTTGCCTTGGCCTCCCAAAGTGCTGGAATTACAGGTTTGAGCCACTGCACCCAGCCTGAGTCAGGATCTTACTTTGTTGCCCAGGCTGGAGTGCTATGGCATAATCGCAACTCACCACACCCTCGACCTCCTGGGCTCAGGTGATCCTTCCACCTCAGCCTCCTTCCTGAGTATCTAGGACTATAGGCACATGGCACTACACCCAGCTAATTTTTTAGTTTTTGTAAAGACCCAGTCTCACTTTGTTGCCCAGGCTGGTCTTGAACTCCTGGGCTCAAGCAATCTCCCATCTTGGCCTCCCAAAGTGCTGGTGTGAGTTACCATGCTCAGCCTATACTTATTTGAAAGGGTTATTATAAGAGGTTATATATCTATTTATTTGAGTTGGGGTCTCACTCCGTCCCCCAGGCTGGAGTGCAGTGGCACACTCACAGCCACCCCAGTGTCAACCTGCTGGGCTTAGGCAATCCTTCCAAGTAGCCGGAACTACAGGCGTGCACCACCAGTCCCGGCTAAGTTTTTGATTTATTGTAGAGACGAGGTCTTACCATGTTGCCCAGGCGGGTCTTGAGCCCGCAGGCTCAGGCAATCCTCTTGCCTCAGCCTCCCAAAGTACTGAGATTACAGGCTTGAGCCACCGCACCCAGCCTATAAGAGGTAATTTAAATGACGCGCCTAAAAGAATGAGACAAGGGCCAGGCACAGACTCAAGCCTGTAATCCCAGCACATTGGGAGGCTGAGGCAACTTGGCGAGACCTGGTTTCTACAATAAATCAAAAAATTAGCTGGGCACGATGGCATGTGCCTGTAGTTCCAGCTATTTGGAAGGCTGAGACAGAAGGATCACGGGAACCCAGCAGGTTGACTGGGGTAGCCGTGAGCGTGCCACTGCATTCCAGCCTGGGCCACGGAGTGAGACTCCAATTAAAAAAAAAAAAAAAGCCGG